ACTTATAAGTGTGTGTGTGAGAGAATGTGTATGTGTCTGTCAGTGTATGTCAAATCAGTGAGTGTGTGTCAGTGAGTGTGTCTGCCATTGAATGTGTCGGTAAGTGTGCCTGTCAATGTGTGTGTAAGTTTGTGTGTCAGTTTCCTCTGTGTGTAAATATGTGTGTGTGTCAGCTGTTTGTAAATGTGTGTGTCAGTGTCCTCTGCCTGTCAGTGTGTGTGTCATTGAGTGTGTGTGTCTGTCAGTGAATACGTGTCTGTCAGTGTGTCCTCTGTGTGTATGTGTGTCTGTCAGTGTGTCCTTTGTATGTGTGTGTAAATGTGTGTGTGTGTCAGTGTATTCTGAGTATAAATGGGTCCTCTGTGTGTAAATGTGTATGTGTGTGTCAGTGTCCTCAGTGTGTAAATGTGTGTGTCTCAGTGCCCTCTGAGTGTAAATATGTTTGTCAGTGTCCTCTGTATGTAACAGTGTGTGTCAATGTCCTCTGTGAGCAAATGTCTGTGTTAGTGAGCTCTGTGTGTGTGTGAATGTGGGTGTGCTTCAGTGTTCTATGTGTGTATCATTCTCCTATGTATGTGTGTGTTTGTGTGTGTGTGTCAGTGTGTAATTGTGTGTGTGTCCTCTGTTTGAATGTATGTGTCTGTGTCTCTGTGTGTAGTATATTCTCATTTTTATACTTCAGATTAATAGTTCACATACTCCTCCTTACATACACAATATTCACATTAAGTAATATATTTTAAAAGTATTCTTTACTACCTTTAATTAGCCTTGTTCTCCATTATAGAACTAACTTAACCCCTTAAGGACCAAACTTCTGGAATAAAATGGAATCCTGACATGTCACACATGTCATGTGTCATTAAGAGTTTAAATATCAGTGTTTAGAAGTTTCATTTGGAATTTAAATCAGTAGATATCACTTTCTTGAGGCAGGGTTACTTAGGATTTTTGATTTTGGACCTGCAGGGGTACTTCTCTGTAAGTTGAGAAACACTGCAAAAGAGGAACACACGCATACACACACTGGAACATGACTGTATACTTCACTATGGGTGTCACAATACCTGTCCCTGGCGTCACTGTGCAATCACAGAAACTATGCCACTCTTTTTGTGTTCTGATGCACATCAACTCATCCCTAGCTTCCTGGTGGCTTATTATGACATCATATATTACATGGAACACTTCCAATAGTCACCTTTTATCATGTCAGTCTATGTGGCACTTTTTTATAATGTGTACACACTTGTGACATCATGGCCCTCAGTAACCAATCGCAACCCAGTATAAGGTATATATACTTCCTGGTTGTCCATGTTTCCTTGCCCTGTTGTAGTTCTTATTACCTGAGGGTGTGTTTATACTCTGTAATGGATTTACTCATTTCTGACCTTGGCTTGTTTGACTATTCTTGCTCTCTGTTATCCTGACCTTGGCATAACTATCGATTCTGTGTATCTCTGACAAAAAAAAATTGAAGTTGCATCTGATTGAAAATGAAACCATTTTGTTTTCATGCAGCCACAGCCAAGGGCTACACAGAAACAAAAGTGATTTTATTCCTAAACTTCAGAAGCATGATCAGTTCACAAAAATGGTTTCACTAAGCTAAATTTGTTTTGGCTTTAGACCTTTAGGCTTCCTGTATGAAAAATGTTCACATCACCCCTCCCTAGTCACACTCGCTCATCCATGTGTAGTGTGTGTATAAGGGTGTAGTGTTTGCATCAGGGATTTATTAAATTAATCAGTATAAAAAAACAAAAAAAAAATATTTATTCCCCCTGCAGGTGGCATGCTGATCTCTGGTGGTTCAGTGTGCTGGGAATCTGGTCTTCATCTCGGTCTCTGTGTGTGATATTTGTTATGGGTGTGATAAAAGTGTGTATTGAATGTGAGTGATGTTTGTGATGGGTATTTAATTCAGATTTTAAAAAATGCATGTAGGCCCATCTGTGAATGCAGGCCAGGTGTGTATTTCTGCAGTGTTACATACACACGGTCCCACAGTCAGACACACAATCAGATGCACACAGTTATACACATGTACTGTAAAATACAGCCCCATGTACACAGTCCCAGGCATATAGTCACACATGAACAGAAGCAGGCAGCCAGTCACACAAAGACAGTCACACACACAGTTACAGGTAGAGTCACACACACATGCACACACAGTTACAGGCAGACAATCACACACACATTCACACATTCACTGACAGACAGTTACACACAGTCATAGACATACAGTTACACACACACTTTCACAATCACACACACACACACAGTTACAGGAAGACAGTCACACACAGTCACGGGCAGACTGCTGCACACACATTGTCACATGCATACAGTCTCACAGGCAGTGAGTCTCACACACAGTTAAAAACAGACAGTCACACACAGTTACATGCATTCTCACAAACAAATAGTTACAAGCAAGCACACAACAGTCACAGGCAAACAGTTACACAGTCACATGCGGTCAGTCACAGACACAGTCACACAGTCTCACAGGCAGACACTCACACACACATAGTTACAGACAGTCAGACACACACAGTCACAGACAGTCACATAGTCACAGGCAGTCACACACACAGTTACAGGCAGACAATCACACACACAGAGCTACTTGTTTCCATTATGGACTGGTGGGAGAAAAGTGGAGACACAGCAGTCAATGGAGTCTAGTAGTTGGTGAAGCAGTAACTCCTTCCTGCTTTCCTTTGGAGTGCGGCAGAAACCAGTCAGCAGTTTCAGGCCATATTTAGGTCCGACCCCGTCGCCCATTTAGCACCGCCCATGCCACATATTTAGCTCCACCCCCGTCTCCCTTATTTGCGGCTGGCCTTTGAAATTCTTCCACTACAATCAGTGGTGTATTTTGGATATGTGCTTCCCTAGGCATGACGATACTTGGGCACCTCTGTCTAAATTTGTCCTGCCCCTACCTGTTTAAGAAGAACGTGCAGTTTAACTGACAGACACATACTGAAACACCCATTCACTGACACTCTCAGATACACATAGAGTGACATACATTCACTGACCAAGACACACTGGCAGACAGACACACACTCATTAACAGATACACACTCACTCACAGACATACAATGACAGACACACACATTCACTCACAGACACAGTGACAGAAACTCTCACTCAACACACAGTGACAGACATGCACACATTCACTCACAGACACACACATTCACTCACAGACACACTGACAGACACACTGAAAAACACACACATTGACTGACAGACACACATTCATTGACAGACACACAGATACAGACACACTCACAAACATTGTCTCACACACTTACAAAGTATTATTTATTTATTTTTTAAAAATATTAATTTTAATCCAACCAGCCTCCCTACCTTTGGGAGAGCTGGTGTGGATTCTTCCCTGGGGTCCAGTGGGGCATGCAGGGCTGGCTTCTGGTGGCTGGGTGGCAGGGCATGCAGGCACACAGTTGTGGGAGCTGTAATCCTCCTGCTCAGCCCCTCACGCACCACTGAGTGACATCATATCCCGGTTCCCAGCATCACTGTGGGGTGTGAGGGAGCGGAGCAGGAAGATCTCAGAGGACCATGCTCCCTTGCACCCCCTCCCCGACTGCACTGTGATAATTTGAAAGCCTCGGGGGGTCCTGAGGTGGAAAGCTTGCCAGCTTTTGGGCCCCCCATGAAAGAGGCTAACAGGCCATCTGTCAGGTCGCCAAGAGGCGGCTTTTTTCTCCACCACACTATTATTTTTTAAATTTCCCTTACCTGACACCCACGGAATCCCTACATTACTTCAGATGGATGGGCCTTTCTAGCAACTGGGCAACAATGGCTGCCTAGCCACTAGGTTTAGGTATTCAGGAGACATGCCCCTTCCTGTCACATTATATGCCAGTTATTTCTATTCTCATTTTGAATCTGCACTTTTTCCAAGTTGTAACCAGGCTAGCAAATAATAAGGTATACAACAGTGGGCATACTGGGGAACAGCCTTGTCTGATCTCGGCTACCCTCACTCTATGTTATTACGCAAGTATCTTAATAGCTTTATAGTGAAAGTGTGGGCCCCCTATTCAGCTTTAGCTAGTATTTAATTCATTATATTATTGTTGACTCTATCAGTAGATATTGAAGAGGGCAGCAGTGACACCTATTGGTGGAAAATCATTATTGCTTGTTTGGCAAAGGAAGAGAAATGCCCCCTTTTGGTTTTAACCTGCAAAAATAAAAACTACAGGATAATTATTTAACTTGTCAATTCTCTGGACCATTCTTTTATCCTAGTCATAGATCTGTAAACTATAACACGGCCTATTTGGGCCTTTTTAGAGAACTTTTAGAATAAAAATGCTATCCACATTTATTCTGGGGGTTGATTCCCTTCTCACACCAGGTATTCCCAGGTATTAGTCGCTACGTGGGGCTCCCCTTTGTCAGATGGGACTATTTTAGTGGAACCAGTGTGACAGATGGGCAGTATTAAATCCAGATAATAATAGATACCTGGGCATCCCAGGGTAATACTAATGCTGCAGGCTGTTGAAGGGAGGCAACCAGGGTCTGAACAGACCCTAACTCTTTCTCCCTGTATGTCTCTACAAAATAGTGAATGGTGCTGGGCTTTGAGAGCTTCTGTGCACTGATCACAGTATGAATTTGCTGGGATGGCATGCTTACAGGGAAATCTTCCGGTAATACTGAAAACAGCCTCTAAATGGCAGCAATATATCACCTTCTACTGTTTTAATAAGGAAAACACATCTGCTGATATAACAACAAATATATACTAGTTACACCTAAAAAAAATAATAAAATGTGATTTCCTGTTACTGTCCCACATCTCAAAACACCATAGTTATGCTGCTTATTTTAGTAAATATGCTAAAAAATAAAACAGACTCAAGGCTTTCTCTAAGTGTACAGTATGATCATTTTCTTTAATAATATTCACATAAAAATACAAAGTAACTCAGGTTAGCAGACTGTTCTGCCGCAGATCGGCCTCTAGAGGTCGCTAGTTGTGCGGAGACTGCAGACAATGTGTGTGCAAATGTTTACATCACGTGACCGCGTCTAACCAGCTCCCTCTCTGCAAGAAGCGGGCGGGACTAAGGCAAGCCGAGACATGTCGGACCCGGCAGAAGGGAAGAATTTGGGCGCCGAGCAGGCGGACGGGGCTGTTTATGAGGATGGCGACGGATTCTCAGACTTTAGCGACTCGGAGCTGGTGACGCTGCAGGAGGAAGCAATGATTGACAGCTGCGGTGAGAGGGCTTATTATGGAGGGGGCGTGGCCAAGGCAAGCATTCTATTCCCATTAAAATCTCTGCGCATGCGCTGAGTTAAATGGCTGGCTTTGTCATTGGGAAAGTTATTTTCTGAATGGCTTGTTTTTCCTCCATTGGAATTGAGTCGCTTTTATGAATGCATTGCAATTCAAAAACTTACCAATATTACCCAATAAAAATACTCACTTTTTTCAACTTACTGCATTTGCAGAAAATACCCAACTTCTGCAGGTTTTGCTGTGTGCTTTAACCACACTAAAAAGTAGCAGGAAAAAACCTAATACATTCTTCCTGTATTGTTCTTTGGAAGTGTTGTGCAAATCATTTAAACCCCTGCCAGGATTGCATATGTAGTTCATCATTAGACAGGGAGTAGTTTCATTACTGAAAAAAGCAAATGCTAAAGGACCACTATAGTGCCAGGAAAACATACTCGTTTTCCTGGCACTATAGTGCCCTGAGGGTGCCCCCACCCTCAGGGTTAAATCTTACCTTTTTTCCAGCACCGGGCGGGAGCTCTCCACCTCCGATCCTCCTCTTCGGCTGAATGCGCATGCGTGGTAGGAGCTGCGCGCATTCAGCCAGTCTCATAGGAAAGCATTCATAATGTTTTCCTATGGACGCTGGCGTCTTCTCACTGTGATTTTCACAGTGAGAAGCACGCAAACGCCTCTAGCGGCTGTCAATGAGACAGCCACTAGAGGCTGGATTAACCTATTTATAAACATAGCATGTTTATAAAAAAAAAAGGGTTAATCCTAGAGGGACCTGGCACCCAGACCACTTCATTAAGCTGAAGTGGTCTGGGTGCATAAAGTGGTCTTTTAACCGCTGCATAAGGTAATAAAAGCTTAGAGTTTGCATTCATTTTCTCATACCTCTGTTTACATATTGTCATGTTTGAAAAGAGTCAAAAAGCAGTTAAAATACAGGACTCTTCACAATGTTTTAATTTGGCAAAAAGAAAAAAAAACAAGGCTGTGATAGTATGGGTGAACTGCACTGCAGAACATGTTGGTGCTTTATAAATGCCACTTAGTTATGAAAATTATAACACAGTCTGTCTGCCATCAGTTGCTGCATCTCACAATGTCTAGCGGGTACCTGTACACAAAACATAGAGCCAGTGGCCACTTGCAGGAGCATTCCAGCTAACCCACATCTGACAGGACAGTCTTGTTTGCGATAAATTCCCAACTAAACAGTTTTGTTTTTCTGTTTTGATATCCCTTTGGACACCAGAAAGTGCAGTGTGAGTAATGAAATAGTCTCTCTGTTTGAAGCCCGTGTAGGAGTGCTTCCTCGATGCTCTGTGCATAGGCCAGCCTGCAATTGGTTGTATTGGCAATTTTGCTAGCATAGTAAACAAACTAATATTGTATATCTATCTGAAACTAATAATGCAGACATCCTAACATGCAAAAATTAATTTCAGGGAGGTGGCTGCACACCCCCACATGCGCCCCCACCCCCTTTGACACACACATACACACTCAGATACCCACACTGGCACATACATACATACATACACACACAGACACTCAGATACATAAACTGGCACACGCACACACACACACACACACACACACATACTTACAATGGCACTTACACACAAATCCACACACAGATACCCACACAGGCACATACACACAGATACCCATACTGGCACATAGACAAATATACACACTCAGATACCTGCACTGGCACATACACCCAAACAGATACACACATATACCCACACAGGCACATACAGTGAGGGGGGAAAGTATTTGATCCCCTGCTGATTTTTAACGTTCGCCCACTATCACACTGACACATACACACAAATACACACACAGATACCTAGACTGACACATACACACTCTAATACTTACATCTGGCATACATACACACACATACACACAAATAGATACCCACACTGGTACACACACATACACCCACACTGGCACATACAGTGAGGGGTAAAGTATTTGATTCCCTGCTGATTTTTAACATTTGCCCACTTTCAAAGAAATGATTAGTCTATAATTTTAATGGTAGGTGTATTCTAACAGTGAGAGACAGAAAAAAAAAATCCAGAAAAACGCATGTCAAAAAAGTTATAAATTGATTTGCATGTCAGTGAGTAAAAAGGTATTTGACCCCTTTGACTTAGTACTTGGTGGCAAAACCCTTATTGGCAATCACAGAGGTCAGACATTTCTTGTAGTCGGCCAATAGGTTTGCACACATCTCAGGAGGGATTTTGTCCCATTCCTCTTTGCAGATCCTCTCCAAGTCATTAAGGTTTCGAGGCTGATGTTTGGCAATTGGAACCTTAAGCTCCCTCCACAGATTTTCTATGCCTCTCCATGACCTTAATGTGCTTCCTCTTGAGCCACTCCTTTGTGGCCTTGGTGTGTGTTTTGGGTCATTGTCATGCTGGAATACACATCAACAACCCTCTTTCAATGCCCTGACTGAGGGAAGGAGGTTCTCACCCCCAAAGCATAATGTTTCCACCTCCTGGAGATGATGTTCTTGGGGTCTTAGGCAGTATTTTTCCTCCTCCAAACAAAGCGAGTTGAGTTGATGCCAAAGAGCTCGATTTTGGTCTCATCTGACCACAACACTTTCACCCAGTTCTCCTCTGAATCATTCAGATGTTCATTGGCAAACTTCAGACAGGCCTGTACATGTGCTTTCTTGAGCAGGGGGTCCTTGTGGTCTCTGCAGGATTTCAGTCCTTCATGGCGTAGTATGTTACCAATTTGTCCCAGCTGCCTTGAGTTCATTAACAAGATCCTCTCGTGTATTTCTGGGATGATTCCTCTCTATTCGCATGATCATTGAAATTCCACGAGGTGAGATCTTGCATGGAGCACCAGACCGAGGGAGACTGACAGTTATTTGGTGTTTCTTCCATTTGTGAATAATCACACCAACTGTTGTTACCTTCTCACCAAACTGTTTGGCGATGATCTTGTAGCCTATTCCAGCCTTGTGTAGGTCTACAATCATGTTCCTGACATCCTTGGACAGCTCTTTGCCATGGTGGAGAGTTTTGAATCTGATTCTATACCGTTAGCAATAATATGCTTCCCTCCTACTGCTTCGAAGCTGTCACTCAGGTGAAGGGTCGGCGCTTCCTATAAGGCGAACTAGGCAGCCGTCTAGGGCGCCATATAGGAGGGGGCGCCCTGCGCCTCCATTGCTGGCCCTTTAAATGCTGCAGCCGCACTGCCTCACCTCCCCTTCCCTGTAGCGTGGTCGAGCTCCTCTCCGGTGTACACTTCCTATCAGTCTGACAGGAAGTGCACACACAGTGTGCACTTCCTATCAGTCTGGCCGGATACAGGAAACAAACTCATGTACCGCGGACTGTAGAGGAGCTCGGCCACGCTACAGGGAAGGGGAGGTGAGGGGGAGTAAGAAGAAGGGGGGGGGGAGTAAGAAGAACACAGGGAGGGGGAGTGTGGAGAAGGGGAAGTGAGGAGAACACAGGGAGGGTGGGTGGGTGTGAGAAGAGACCGCTAAGGGAGGGTAAGGGGAGGAAAGAGACCACTAAGGGCCTGGAAAGAGCTTTAAGGGACAGAAGGCAGAGCTCTATAGGATAGGGAGCTCTTTCACACTACATGCACACACACACAATGCATCCCTGCACACACAGAAACACAACATGCTTCCCTTACACACAGAGAAACACACAATGCATCCATTACACACACACACAATGCAACCCTTACACACAAAGACAATGCATCCTTTGCACACATACACAGAAACACACAATGCATCCCTTACACACACAGGCAAACACACACACTGCTTCTCTTACATATACACAGAAACACAATGCATTTCTTACACACCCTCAATGCACACACTTACAGACACACACCTTGCATCCCTTATGCATACAAACACAGATTCACACAATGCATCCCTTATACACAAACACACACTGCTTCCACTACACACAAACACACTGCATCACCTACACAAACGGGTATCCCTCTACACTACATTCCATAAGCACACACATTAGATCCTCTACAATAACACATACCACATCCCCTACACACTCCCCTCCCTGTGAGCGAACTCATGGGTGGAACATATAGGTGGACTTATGGGTCCCAGACCTTGAGCTGTGTAAGGGGCCCCAAAAAATGGAGCTGTTTCCCGTTCTCCCAGAACATTGAATTTTGTGACCACAGTTACAAACAGCCTCCAGAGATCACGTTCTACACCAGGCCAGTGGAGCCAAACAGCAGCCAGAGCCCATCACCATCCTCATCTGGTTGTAAGTAGGCAATCTACTATATTATTAGTGACACTAATCTCTAATTTACCTCACATTAAAGGGACACTATAGTCCCCAGAACCACTGCAGCTTAATGAAGTGGTTCTGGTGTCTATAGCCTGTCTCTGCAGGCTTTTTAATGTAAACACACACTGTGTGCAGCACTGGCATTAGTTCATATGGCAGATCATGGGTTGGGTATTGTGATGTCACATGGAAGGTGGGGGGGGCAACAAATTTTTATTTTGCCTAAGGCGGCAAAAATCCTTGCACCGGCCCTGCACAGGTGTTTAACCCCTTAAGGACCAAACTTCTGGAATAAAAGGGAATTATGACATGTCACATATGTCATGTGTCCTTAAGGGGTAAATATAAATATAAATATAAAGCAGGGAGTGGTAAAGGAGTTAGGATTAGAGTTTAGAATAAAGGCAACATTGAAGTAGTTCAGATAAATATGAAGAATAACCTGCCTCTAAATTCTAAAGGTAGATACTATACTCCTAATAATATGTTAACCCCCTACTGCTTCGAGGCAGTCCCCAGTATGACTAACAAGAAAGTGCCCAACCGCTGAGTAAGGTGAACTAAAAACAGATGCAGCTCACTTCAGCCTCGCCATACTGTCTGCTCTAATACTGCCTCAACCTTCCTCCTCCTCCCTCCCGCGCGGTTGTTTTTTAGCTTGGAGGAAATTACAGCATACCACTTCCTCCAAGCTGGCAGATACTGCAGGCTCTTAAAGGGCCGGGTCCCAGACCGGGCCCCTGTTCAGGAACAATACCCATCAGGTGGGTAATGAGTAGGGGGCATTTATCATGTGTACTGTCTTGAAAATCAAACATTCAATCTGCATGCATTGTATGTCAGATAGTGTGAGTGATTTCCGGGATATTACATATGGTGTGCGGGTGTCCGGGAAGCTCATTAAATATGCGGTAGTCTCCCGGACCTAAAGGGAGACTTGAGATGTCTGTTAATGTCATCAATACTTTTGTTAAATAGCAAGTTCTCTTTAAATTAGAGGTTTGAGGTAAATTATTCCTGCTATTTTAAGCTTTGACAGCAAGATGTTTATCTGTTAATTCTGTTATTTAAAGGTGCCACCTCCATCCCAGAGAAGATTGTACAGCAAAAGGAAGGAAATGACACCCAGGTGAACATGTATGTATTATGCCACGGTATAGAAGACCAAATGTAAGACGAAGAAAGCAAACCCTGTGGCTAAAGGGAGACTTGGCTATAGTACCAGCATACCCTTGACCAGTAATCTTTCAAACTGATAAAAGAAAACATGTATTCCTAGCACTATAGTGTCCTACTAACTGTTTAGATTAACACCCCCGTGCATCGAGATGAAGTGGTCTGGGTTCCCTTAGTGTCCCTTTAATGAACAGTTTGACTCTTACCTTGCTGTGTTGGGTTCCCTGTTTGAGTTTGTGTATTAATACATATGTATATTTCTGCATTAGCATACCAACGCATCCAGGGTTACACAGTATTCACTGGCTGAGACTGGCAGCTGGTCAATTAACTGGTCAGTTAACAGTGTTTAAACATGACATGAGTTGGTATGTTAATATATAAGTATGAGCTTTGTTGGACCAACGTAAGGTTAAAGGACCACAGGCCCCCTGTCACAGCAAGGTGAGAGGCAAGAAACTAATTAACGGTTTGACAGATTTCTGATAAACAATGTCCAGGGACTCCATGGCAAATTAACCACTGCTACAGCGTGCTGTAGTTATTGTGCCTAGAGTACCCTCTATGGGGGCACAGAACATATTTTTCATGCACATTACCTAGAGACCTGCAAAATAAGACTGTCAGTTGTTTTGTTTTTCTTCTCATCGCATACGGTTTTATCTACTTTGGCTTGCTCTGGAGAAGGCCTGAATCAGTGAACTTGCAAGGTTTATATCATACATGCACTGATTAGCAATTTCGCTCACCCTTTCTGATGATTTGGGGATAAACTACTTATGCCATAAATCCCAACTGGTCAAGGTTTATAGGGTAAGACTCTTTTCCTAGTGAGGGAGATACCTGTCCACAATTGCGTGGAAACTCACTACTTCAAGAGAAACTTTGAACGTATGGTTTCTTATTCTTAATGCATTATCTATATAAAAGTTTTCTGTTGCATTAATGTGTGTAATAAAGAGTGCACCAGCTGATGTGGTGCTGTACAGCTTCCGTCATCCTTTGACAGCAGTCCAGCTAATTTTGGAGAAACCCCTGTTCCTATGGGTGGTAGCTCAGCTGAGATTTTGAAGATAGAGTAGATAGAGATATAGGGATATGTAATTTTCTCATTGTTGCCATACAATGTTATTCTACTGGTATTAGTTGAAATCAGCTTACTAGTTTTGTCTCTTTGTTTTCAGTAAAAATGATCTTGGCACCACTGTAGACATACACCATGGAGACAGGGGAGAATGCAGTGGCAGTAAACAGAATTCTCCTGGATCTCCACAAATAAAAAGGAAACGCCTGCCACAGACTCCGATGGAGAAATATCGTATGAAGTACTTGTGGGTGACTAACTTGTGCTCCCAGACATGGTGCGAACAGCAGATGGTGTACGAATTTGAGTACCCAGAATTCCTGGTGACAGAGAAAAGTGCTGTAATAAATGCAGGATCTAGTATACATCTAGCCAGAGGTGAGCCAAGCTGTGTATTAATACTAACCTGCTTGTATTGCTGCACAGATGTCAGGCAAAGTTTGCAAATTCATTTAAAGATAACAAGCACTAGGATTGCCACTGCATGCTGCCAGTGCGGATGTGTCACATTACTATACCATGCTTTTTAGCAATAGTAATTCATTAAAGGGACACTGTCAATACAATTATATACAAATATGATTTCATCAAAACAAATACAAAAAGGTGAATATTTTTTGTATAGCAAACTGCTTTCTTTTTATCCTCTCCTATTGATGTCCATTTCATGGTCACATCTAACCATAAAACTTACTATAAACCCCTGACAAAAAAAAGTGGTACCTAGGAGATGGGGAAAAATAATTTAAGATGAAGAAAATTTTGTGTTGCAATCAGCTCAGTGTCACGGTTATATTCAAATATGAAAATACAGAATGGTGAACTGGAAAAGATCACATGAAGTGTATGATGTCTGTATGTTTTTTTGAGATCATGCATCTATTCTGCATTGTATGAGAATTTATTAATCACTGCAGTCTTTCCCTGTACTTATGCTGTTTGTGCCTTAAACATAAGACAAAGTAGTAAGTGTAGTTTAATATAAGTTAATATAGGCAGGTCACCTGTAAGATTCAAATGCCATGCGAATATGACACTGGAAATACAATTTATGTATTCTGCTAGCCAAATTGGTGGAGTGTCTATTGATAAATATTCAAGGAAAATGCAAGAGGCACCCCACTCGCTAGATTGCTATTGTGGATGGTCCATTACTGCATTTCTGTACCAATTTAATCCCAAGTTTGTACAGTCCTGATAGATTGGATAGTCTGTAAACTGGTGCACTTCTGATGTCTTGTGATGTATTGTTCATGGTGCTTAACCTACCCCTTTTACTATATTTTTACACCTCCTGTTCTTTTATACAAATGTATTGTCCTACTTGACATTGCGAAAGTATGCAACTGCATGCTCATACAATGCCACATGTGTATTCTCACACTGTTTGGTCATTTTGGGAGCGAGCACACGTGTAATAGCAAAATTCTAATCTAACCGAAGTACATTTAGTTTTCTAAGTCATTTAATTCAGCTTGGCAAATACAGTTTGTTGTAATATTATATGTCCACACACACAATCAGATATCTAGAGCGGAATTTAGGTGTTTGGATGGCTAAATACAGTCATATCATGCCCCGTTTCCAAGCCAAACCAGCCATGTCAAACACTGAAGGTTTCAGGTGTTGGGATTGCGTACCTGTACATGAGCACAATTTAAACTGTGGTGTCTTTTCCTCTAATGGACCTATGACAAATACTTATACTTCAAGCAGCATGCTTGGCATATACCCATTAAATGCAGGTACTAAAGTTAGATAGCTACTCCCTACATCATTTGCCAGTAAATTAATGCAATATTCCTGCTGCAATTAACTATGTTGAAATTGAAGTAGAGTGTGATTATGAAGGAGTTTTGTGATTTATTTATTTAGAAAAAAAATTCTGTTCAATTTCTGTAATTTGCAATATTTGGGGGGGAGGGGGATTAAATACTAATAGCTAATATAAAGACACATGTTTTAAATTAATTCATCTTCCTATGTTATAATTTTGTATGGAAGTCTAACGTTAAAGACCAAATATTTGTTACATTTTGTAAATCATTGTAAGGTAAGCGCTAAAACAGTTTTGTTGGTGTGTAGCAGCAATAATCTTGCCATGGGTCTCTCCTTCTGGCTAAAGTAATCATAATTCACAGTAGAATGATGGTTGCACTTCAGTTGGATATGTTTGTAAGACAAAAATATTTTTTTTTTTAAAGTCCAATGGCAAAGTTTATTTCTTTGTCAGGACAGAAATAAGTATGGAGTGCAACTTGGATGAGGTGGAGCTTCACACCAGCTCTGGGGTGGGACCTGGGCACCTAAAGATATGTGGGATATTTTCATGTACTGTATGTTGGTCCTCACCAAGACATGAAACACAGAGCATAATACAGGAACAATATATGGTGTACAATGTAAAGCGGTTTTTCATAATAACGTAATGATATTATGCACTTACATGTAATGGAGCCATACGTGGCTCCAGTAAATCAGCATACAGCGATACAATCCCCAAATTAAGCAGTGCAGTGTGCAAAGGCAATCATGGACATGTGAAAGCAATAAACCATTGTACATCATTAACACATACTAACACAATCTGTTATCCTGAAATTAATTCTTAACTATAATATCTATTCCTGGCCTACTCTGTGCAACCTGTCAGAGTGATAAATTGTACTGATCAACACTTTAAATTGAACGCAGCCATAATTTCAGTGCATGTAAGCTTTCTTACTTGTTAAGTGTGACATTTCATTTTTAGAGCTGGAGGTTCATGATGTTGTATCGGTGAAGACACAGACAAGGGAAGATACCTGGGCAATAAAATTACTGAATATATTATCAATGATCCCAGTTTTACAGTCTGGTAAGTTAACATATTTAGAGACCTGTAACAACAGTTAATTTGTCTTTCTATTCCCTGCATCTTCAGGGGCATATTTATTAAAAAGACACTAAACAACACTTCGTTTTAGGAAGTGGTCAGGGTGCAGTAGCCCCGTCCTTTTAACTCGGCAATGTAAAATAGTGCAGTGTTTAGAACTCGCAATGCTTACGTTGCAGGGTTAAATTCACTTCTAGTGGTTGTCTTCTTAACAGCCACTAGAGGCTCTTCTGCAACACTGACCGAGAAAAGCTCTATCCCATGAAGCAGAAGCCCACAGAAAAGCATTGAATTCAATAATGTTGGAGAGACAGAGAGGTAAGCAGCGTCGGAGGAGCCTTGATACTGGGAAAAAGGTGAGTAAAATGTTGATTTCATTGTTATCGCACTAGGGACACCATAGCATTAGGAATACATTTTTGTATTCCTAAAGCTATAGTGTTCCTTTAAAAGCATAGTTGTAATCCATCAGTTAAATTCCACAGGGTCTTTTTGCATCTAATATTTAGACCAGTAGTAGTCAACCATTTTCTACCTACCGCCCACTAATTCATCTTTCTTGATGGAAAAATTTTCTTAGAAAGTGTGTTTTAAAATAAATAAATGTACGTACATTTATCTTTTTATTTCTACTTAATGCATGTTTAGAATGCTTTTAACTTTATAAAGTTTAATGAGAAAACAATAAAGTAAATTGAAATTACCTTTACTAGTGATTAATGAGATCCTTGAGGTTGATGCTGCGAGACTAAATATTTGATATCTGTTTCGATTTTCGTAAGGAACAAACGAAGGTCTCCTCTTTCGGTGATATTCAGACGACTTCTCTATTTGCGCATAATATGATTTCTCATCTGTGCGTCAGCTCCCCTCCTTTCCCTCCTCAATTCCCCTCCCCACCTTTTATTTTTCCTTTTTTCTATTTTTTAACCTTCCTTATAGCAATCCCCAGTAGGAAGGCTGAGCTAGGGAGCCCACTTACTATTACTTACTATAGCCCACTATAACAGACAGACACACACACAAGACACACACACAAGACACACATACACACATGTAAAGACACATACATACAAACAGACAGGCACACATACATACATACATGCATACATACAGACAGGCACACATACATACAGACACACACATAGACATGCACACATACATACAGACACACACATAAGACATATATACAAAGACACATACAGACAGACACAAGACACATATACATACAAAGACACATACACACACACAACACATACATACAAAGACAAGACACACATATATACAGACAGACACACGCACACAAGACATACATACAAAGACACACACATACATACAAAGACACATACATAAGACACACATACATACAAAGACACATAGACACACACATACATACAGACACACACAAGACATACATACAAAGACACACACATACATACAAAGACATACACACAAGACATACATACAAAGATACATACACACAAACAAACACACACAAAATATTTTAGTCACCCCCCTGTTTCCTACCTTTTAGGTGCAGGAGGGTGACATTCCCTGGGGTCCAGTGGTGGCTCAGGTGGATGGGAGTCAGAGTTCCTACTCTGACTCCCTCTGCTTCTTCCCCCGCGGTCTGTGTGTTAGCTGGGAGGAGTGACGTGCAGTCACTTCCTCCCAGCTCTGTGATGTAATGACAGGGGGCCTGGTCGCGCTGTTAAAGTGCCCAGCGCTGACCGAGCCCCCTTACAATCCACATCCATCGGGTGGCCCTGACAGCACGGGCCACCCGATGGACCCCTTGGACGTTGGCCCCGGCTGCTTGCCGTGCGGGCCGGGGCCGCAAATGGTGATGGTGGTACCGGTCGCACAGGTACCGCTGGCTCGCACCCGCCTGCATGCCCGCCCACCCAATCTCTCAAAATGAGGAAATCCCTACCACCCACCTGGAATCCTGAAACACCCACTAGTGGGCGGTAGGGACCAGGTTGACGACCCATGATTTAGACAAAGTCTACTGGGGATCAGGTGAATTTATGTGTTTGACATGGCAAATAGAAACATAGGGTGTTGTTTATACACATATCACCCTATGTCACATTCTGTTTGGCCATGCTTTTAACTGCAAACTTTAAAGTATACAGACCCCTGTGTAATAACACTAGAACATCTCTCACACTTCAGTACAAAGGTGCAAGTAACTAAAAAGCTTTTATTTTTGTTTTTTGTCCAAATGGATATGTGGAAATGTTATTCCTTTGACATACCTTTTCAAGGCGGTGGTTGTAATCACAAAAAATAAACTCAAACCACATGGCTTTGTAAATATGTCCTTGATTTATATATTAATTGCATACTTTCAAACATTGATCAATAGTCATCAGTATTTGCCGTGTGTTCTGCAGATGTATACTGTATCCTAAGGGTGTTCAGTAATGGAAATGACACGGACGTTTGCTGAAATCAGATTGATCCCTTAATACATAAATAATAGGGTTTCTGCATAGCTTGGTTTACTTTTATATATGTGAATAGGTTTCCTGTTATTTCATAATTCTACTGTGCTTAGGTTTTACTGTTTTTCCCAGCTCCACATTAAAGTATATGGGTCAGATATAAAACATTTCTTTCCATTTTTATTAAATAATGATTAATACCAACAACAATAAGCACGTCTTTTGTTCTGTGTGTGTATATAGCTCAATTGTTTTGTTGGCCCTGAGCCCTGTGTATTGTTTAATGATTGTGTATTGCATAATAGCCACTTTTGTGTTTTTATAGTTTTTTCTTAAAGTGCAGAGGGAATGAAGGTTGGGGCATAGCAAAACAACAATATTACATATAACAGGAGATTGATCTTTTATTTAAGAAAATAAATACACTGTAAGGTACATTCATTTAGGTAATGTTTGTTGAAATATTGTATTTCATAACTATTAAATATGCCATCAGAGAAAATATAGTCACGTTTTGATTTATTATGGTCTTAAATGTGAACAGTGTTCTGCAATTTTCACATAATACTCTCCACATGCTCTGTGTTCCTTTCTCTATGCTGTAAGGAAGTCATATTCGTGAATTTCCTGTTTTTGGAGTCCTGGACGGTGTATTTATGGCGGGTGTGATAGATGAGCTGGGATATTCATCCAAAGGGGAGCTGGAACTTAGAGAACTGAAAACTCGGGGAAGTCGATCGTTACCAAGAGGTGCCCAGAAAAGGAGTCACCAGTTCCAGGTACAATGCAAAACAGTGATGTTTCTGATATATTCAAAAAAGTGTATGCTAATGGTGTGCTTTGTTACATTTCTTTTTATGATTGCTTTACTTTTATTAATGAAAAAAGTGGTGTAAATATATATATATACACACACAAGCTTCAAAAGCCTGGGCTACAAGATGTATACAATTCCAAAATGAAGGCTGCACTCCAGTCTTAATAAAAATGCCATTATTTTATTAGAACATTTTTTAAAAGATCAATGTTTTAGTCCTCTCTAGGGACTTACATCAGGATACAAAACAAACATGTTTATCCTGATGAAAGTCTCTAGAGAGGACTGCAACTTTGATCTTTTAAATTTTAAATTTATTTCTAATAAAGTATTTGATTTTTATTAAGACTGACGTGCAGCCTCCTTTTGAATTTGTGTGTTTTATATATATATATATATATATATATATATATATGCAAGGAGACCTCAAACAATATAATGGCTTATGTTCCAATCAGCATTGTCCTGTGTGCATCTACTTAAAACATTAAAACGACAGTGATTTTCCAAAATTGCTGCAGTTATTACCACCCACCTTACAGACTTGAAAAAATTCTGTTACATCTATAATTCCATAAACCTCTCTAAACCTCTCTAGGACATGCATGCATTGCTTCAGTAGTACCATGCGTACAGGAATGCAGGGGTTAAGTTAATCTACAAATGGTACCTGCAAAGAATGTAAATTAAAAAAAGTAATGAAATCAAATTTTCTTTTTTGTCTATAATTCTAGCTAACACTCTTCAGTCAGTTTCTGTTTGATCAAGCCAAAAAAATTACCCTTATTTTTCACTTAGTTTCTTTCTAGATATTGTTTGTGTTAGTCTGTCTTTTCATCACCTCTAAACAGCAGATTTTTGGAATGGCTAGTCAATGTAGCAACATCCCTGGGTAGTTCACTGGAATTTGCTGCCCCTGACCTGATTCTTAATATTTAGCTCAGTAGACTTTGCTTTTTACAGGTTTAGCCATGAGTTTTGCTTTTGTAACTTTGCTATACTAATCCTTTTTACACCACAATAACACTAGCAATATCACTTTTAAATATAGAATGCTGTTATGCTAATAACTTGTGTGTAGACATTACAGTATGTTTAATTTCTCTTTTTAGGTATCATTGTACAAGCTTCTATTTGATGGAATGGTGAGTGGAGGTCTACAGCCAGAGATGTTTTTTCAACATTTGTATTTGAAGCCAGAGCAGTCTTTGGGACCACAAGTGATCGAACATGCCAGTAAAGTTGGTTTTATTGCATCAAATTTCAAAGAACTCTTGGAGCTCGCATGTCTGAACCTGACTTTCTCAGACTTACCTATGATTGACAACTTAAAAATTGAATATTGTTATCAAGAGGACAGTTCACTATTGGGATGTGAATTTGTTATTTTTGAGAGGGAAATGGTGCTGGAACAGTTGACATTTTACTTGGCCTTCTGGAAGGGACTGAGGGAGACTCAGGGAGTTGATATAGAAGAGGCCTGGAAGTGCCAAAGATGTAGCTTTTCTAATATATGTGAGTGGAGAGCAAGAAAATCAGCTTGTAATCAGACCAAGAGACCTAAATGAAGAAACCTCATAACCAAATTGTCAAAAGCACAAAACCTTATGGAATTCCATTCCCCTACTTGGAAGCTGTCAATCAGTCAAACTAAATACTTTCTACGTGCTGCCTAACTTTCTATTTTACAAGAATATTTATAAACTAAGTAAGACTCATTTTATTGTTTGAAGACTAAAAATGAAAAAAAATATTTTAACAATTTTAACACTCCGTTCCTAGTTTGTATGTAAATACCTTGGCAAAATGAATTGCCTTTCCAAAAGCTTAAAGTCAACCTGTAGAACATTATAGTGCAATGTATAATTTAACATAAAGATACATTTTGTACTGAATTTATTTAGGAGCTGAGATGCCATTCCCTCCTTTAGTTCATCAACATGAGACCAAAATGACAACAGTTAATCCTTGTCCATATTCTAGCACTGGAAGGGAGAGCAGGAGAACCACTTCTAAACTTCTACTAGCATCATTTATATATCTATATTTATTCTTTGTTTTGGTTTTTCCTTTTCTTCTTTCATTTTAAATAATTTTGGGTGTATAATGATAGGCACATGGAATTTGTGTTTTCTTGACCAGACGTTGTTACAGACTGAGCTTCCTGAATTCTAAATATGACCACTCAGCTGAACAAAAAAGGACCAATGAATGGCACAAATCGAAATAGTAGAAATTTGTATCAGACATTAGGTTGGGAATCCTGGATACTGTCTACAATCCTAAACAGACAATAAAATACTTTCTAGTAGTGAAATAATAATGTCATGTATGTATGTAGACATATTTATTTTGATACGTTAAATAAATAAGCCTCAAATTAATTTATATAAGATTCTTTGTATTGAACATATATGTATGCTTTTGTAATATGTAATAAATCTCTTTTCCAATGATAAACAATATAATATTTTTATATCATTTTCTATCGGATTGCTGTTTTTGTTTTGGAAGCAATATTTATAAGCCCGATCAAATACAGTTCCATAATGTCACTGTCCCTGGCACGGCCATAAAAATCACTGCAGGGGCATGTAAAACAATCTTAAGAGTTCTTTTCAGAATATCTAACTTTTATGCTTCAGTCCTGAAGCTACTTTTTAGATTTATAAATACATCACAAAAATGGATGACGAGTCTTTTTTTGGTTTGTCTCTTGAATAGTTACTTGTTATGATTTGAGATTTAGGGTTGCTTAAAAGGAGAGTAAAAATGTTTAATCCACCACTGCAAGCTCGTACTTATTGGTCACTCAAGGCACCATAACAACTTAATTGTCATAAAGTTTTTATGGTGCGACAAGGTCCTGGATTCCATCTTAACTTGCAACAAATGGTTAAACCACAATCTTTAGAAGACGGTGCCCAATTGCTCTGCCTGTCAACTTCCTTTCTTGATCTGAGGCTTAACTCATGAACTCATGGACCAGGTGCTGCTGATAGGCTGAGAGTGTCAGCTGATGCTCTCGGCCTATTATTTGCTCCTCGTTCAGAGTTTTTTTTTAAAGTCTTTTTTGGAAGGTATATTCCTGATTGAAGCCTAACGCCAAGAGAGGAAGGCGATTGGTTGAATGATCAGCTGTCATCTTCAAAGTTTATTACCAGTTTAACCCTCGCACCATAACATTACAAAGAAGGTGTGGGCTGACTAGCCGGTTTCAAAGCTCTTTTTGCACAGCTACACAGACAGGGTAGTAAACATGTAAAATGCTGCAAAAACATGCATTTATTTTGTTAAAACCATATACATTCCAGCATGTCAAAATGCAGCTAATTATTCAGGTGAAAAGCTATAAATTAAGTGTTGGTGTTTTGAGTGTCCTTTTTTAATTACATTAATTTCATGTGTCGTGCTTACACAAGTGCATGCTGAATTTATTGTTATGTTTGATAAATTTCTCATGGTAGACTGTGGACTGTGCTCCAGTTTGGGAACCCACATATTTTTAAGGTAGACTGTGCTACATTTTGGGAACCTGTATATGGCATTGTCCTACTACAGACTGTACTGAATTACTGAAAAATTTATTTTAATTGTCACTCAAAGTCCCAATCATTGTTGCTTTCCGTGACACCCTGCACAAAAGTAACTTATAACATCAGAACGTTTCTAGCAGAATTAGGTAGAAAATGTCATAGAGGATGATGCAGCATGCACATTTGAAAGTGGATGGGGTAACTAAATGAAAGTATTATTCAACTCTTTACAGTTATATAGTAGATGTTGGAAATGGTGTATCTCTTATTTCTAATCAAGTAAAGATACATGGATTAAAACATTCCTTCCATCAATGGAGTGGCCACTTCAAGGTAACTTACAAAATCAGGCTATTTTTACCTTTTTTTTCTTTAGCCCCTACTACTAGCACCTACTGTACTTGAGAACATTTTTATTTTTGCCTTTATACTAACATTTCTGACCCTTTGTGGAATATTGCAAGATAAAGGATAATATATACTGTCTAAAGAACTTCATATTTTAATTCATATTTTTAAAAGCCCACACAGGCAAAGCTAGTTTGAGCCGAGGATCACAACAAAAGACCGCTGGAATATTCCCACCAATAATTTAAATCACTTTTTTAAGAGAAGCCCTCCAACGGAGCTACCCATAATCCCTCATTATAAAACCCTCAGATGACCTAAAACAACAGAGGCAAAGCATTTAAAGACTTTATTGAATCTGAACCAATTATGAGACTTTTACTTTTACTTTATTTTTATATTTTTAAAAAAAAATAATTTTTAAAGACCAATTGTTTATCACTTTATTTTTTAAATATTTCTGTCTATTCCAAGACATATATATATATTTTTGGGGTTTATTCTTCATTAATAAATCTGTTTTTAATCTTTAACCTTTGTCTGGTGTTTGTCTCCAGGTAATTCAGTTACGCATGGGATATATTACTCTGACTGGTACTGGTTGATATGTGGTTTGTATTACAGTGCATTATATACAGACACTCCTTGTCACGAATGCACCCTACTCCAAAAGTGTGCGTGATGCAGATGTGGTGGTGAAAGGGTTAAAGTTCACTATTTGTCTGCACTAGACCGTAAATAATGACAAGATCCCTCTTTTAACACCACCCACACTTAAACATAATGATATAACTATTACTATTTTAACACTGCTACCACCAAGACAATTTTTAAATTGGGTGCCTTCGTCCCCCAGGTAAATCAATAATAAAACCCACCAAATATTAAAGGAATTGCAAAAATACTAATTAGTCTCTTCAGGTAACGTGATTCTTAACCAGACAAAGGCAGAACTTAATAAATTAATGTTTATTATGAGCAAAACATAGTCACAGTGCATATAAAAATATACGATAAACAAATTATTTACACCAACAACAGCTAAAAATAAAAAAGGATAAAATACAATACAATACAAGTCCTAATTACTCACTTAAGTTTTCAAAGTACAACCTCTGTCCAGGGGGTCTCTGGCAAGGAAAGATGGTGACTCACTTAGAATTAGATTCTGACCCCCACGTATGTACACCCACACCCCTCCCAATCATTGGATATACACTCTGTGGATTATCCAGTCTTGCCCCGGGGTGGAGTTAAGGCGTACCTACAGAAATAATATGTGACCACCTCCCTTGTTTCAGACCACAGTCAATTCAAATGGAAACATTTGGCTCTATCTTCTTTTATGTACCTGCCACCGAAATAATAATTGCATCTACAAATTTGTTGTTATTTTTCCATTCCATAGACATGTCGCATGCCCCACCCACGATCCAATAGGACGGACATCACAATTCCTGCCACACGGTTTAAGTAAAGCACAAACTGTATAATACAAATAACATTTTCAAACACAATAAAAAGGAACATTGTATGCATTTAGCTACATATTTGGTTGCCCTACTTTGCATACCTTCATTATATAAATGCACACACTCAACCCAGAGGGCACTGCAGAGTTATCAAGTAACAATGAATAGTTTGTGTTTCAATTGCTACCATCACAAGCCCCTTTCAATGGCTCATGGGAGCATAGTCTGTGGACAAGAGTCTGGCCTTCAAGCCTTTCCCAAAAGGCCATGGCATTGGAGCTTATGTCACAACAATATCATAGTGCTACAGAACATATTAGTATATTAAAGTGGAGAACACTTGCATTCACACTAAATATTGACTTCCATATAAAGGTTTACAAAAAATGTATTGTGTTATACTATGATATTGTATTTTTTTTTATTATTATATTTCATATGTGGGCTTAGCCATTTATAATTGTCCAAGATTACAAATTAATTCTTTATATGGTCTGGGGAATGCTCCAGTTTGTTCTCTTTTATCACATGGCTTACTACATGAGTGAAGAGCAGATACTCTGAAGCTTGTTTTACAGCGTCCTTTTCACAGTTCTTCTCCGTACAATACTTATTGTCCTTTGCCAACACCAGAGGAAGACAAAAGGGAAACATGTTGTATATGCAGGTTGGGCATGTACCATACTACATGTACATTTGACACATTTGTTTCAAGGTGATGGCTCAGCGGTTCATACTTTTAAAGGACCACTATAGTGCCAGGAAAACATACTCGTTTTCCTGGCACTATAGTGCCCTGAGGGTGCCCCACCCGCCGGGCTCTGGGGGAGGAAGGGGTTAAACTTACCTCTTTCTCCAGCGCCGGGCGGGGAGCTCTCCTCCTCCTCTTCGGCTGAATGCGCAGGCGCGGCAGGATCCGCGCGCGCATTAAGCCAGTCCATAGGAAAGCATTCACAGTGAGAAGCACGCAAGCGCCTCTAGCGGCTGTCAATGAGACAGCCACTAGAGGCTGGATTAACCCTAACATAAACATAGCACTTTCTCTGAAACTGCTATGTTTATAGAAAAAAGGGTTAACCCTAGATGGGCCAGGCACCCAGACCACCTCATTAAGCTGAAGTGGTCTGGGTGCCTATAGTGGTCCTTTAAGCATCACCTTGAAACAACTGTCTCTAAGGTACGTGTAGCAACAGATGGGTGTTAGCAGAAATGTTGAATTTTTCAACATTATTTGTTTTTGCAAAGCCATCACCAAACGGGTAAACGTCAACATATGTAGGCTTTGAATTTTTTGCCTCGTCTTTAATTCCTTCCCCCACTTAGAGTTCCAACTGGGCATAATGTTCCATTTTAAAAGTTTTAAGTTCCATTTGCTATGAATCAAGAGAATAATATACAGATGATCATAAGTTTGACTAATTATTGGGTACACAGTTAATAACACAACTTATCACTTTGTTTTCTTTATTATTTTTACTTTTTATTTTTACTTTTACTTTTTATTTTCAGCTGGTAGATAGGAAAAAAAATTAAAAAGAACCAGAATAGCTTACACAAGCCTTTATGAATAATGAAACATTAACACAGTTATTTCTAAAGTGAAATTTAAAATGTAGTTACTGCTCAAGCAATTATACCACTAAATTAGCAGAAATAAAAAATAGATTTCCAAAAATCGTTAGAAGATAAAATATTTGAAAATAATCAAAGTGCAATTTTATTTAATTGCACTTGTAATGCCTGTATTTGTAAAATATAAACTAAATAATTAGATAAAGAAAATGTATGTTTAGTGTGCAGATAAAGTTAATATGTCTTGCCAGTACACTATATGGCCAAATGTATGTGGACACCTTACGATCGTACCTATATTAGCTTGTTGGACTTCTTATTCCAAAACCATCGGCTTTAATATGGAGTTGCCCTGTCCCCCTTCACGACTATAAAAGGCTTTACATTTTCATTTGGTTTCTGTCTGTGGGAGCTGGTGGAAAAAAAATACAATAGGCACACTATCCAAGATAATAAGAGTCAGCAGACAGCTGTATCCACTTTAATCTCAGGAAAACAAACC